GAATAGAGAACCCGATTAAGTGTTTGTCTAACCTCTCGATGAACACCAAAACCCTTAACCGATGTCTCAGTGAAAGGGTTTTGCAATTCATATGCGAATACAGAATATGAATGCCTTTATGGGCGGATCTACTGACTCGAGTGGACAGGTAGTTGACTAGACATACCACTGAAAACAGTATAATGAATAGAAATGCTCCAACAAATCGGATCAACATATTTCTGGTCTCCTTTGCGAACGTTATATACAATAGTATTTCTATGGCAGGGGTTCCGAAATAGTAAATGGCAAACAGCATGTACTTAATGTGTATGTTAAACTTATAGGTCATCATAGCAACAAGGTTATGCTCATTAATTGCTCTCATTAATAATGCATCGAATCTAAGTTTTACTGCCATACGAATATCCCTGTTAATTTCGGTGAATTTGTATTTTAAAAAATTACTGGCCATGTATATCATAAAATAACCAATAAAAATCACGCTAAAATACTGAATCAACCAGGCAGCTGTACATATTGTCCAAAACACCACACCTATTATATTGATAGAGAGAAAGGTAGGGCTGCTTACTATTGCTAGAAATGTAAATCTATAATTTTTGTAGTATCTAAAAATTTTAATTAATAATTATGATATCATATTAACATGATGATAAAAAATATCTATATCTTAGTGGGGAACATCGTGTCCTGTCAGTAAATTATGCAATTAAAATGGGTATTACAACAAACTATATGTCCCTAACGACAAATTGAATTGATCAAAATCGGCGAATATCATGAGCTAGTCCCGTAAATCCAGTTATAAACATATTGACATAGTAATTTTACACATAAAAATAACATTATTTCTATGGACGGAACTTCATGAACACTCTAACGGAAATGGACCGTCAAATTACAAACAAAGTGTCGTAAGGTTTACCGAAAATATTTGCGTATAAATACATATTTTAAAATTCTAAATATAATGTTATAGAAATAATGTTATTTTTATGTGTAAAATTACGATGTCAATATGTTTGTAACTGGATTTACGGGATTAGCTCATGATATTCGCCGATTTTGATCAATTCAATTTGTCGTTAGGGACATATAGTTTGTTGTAATACCCATTCTAATTGCATAATTTACTGACAGGACACGATGTTCTCCACTTAGATAATATCATGAAAACAAATTGAGGACTATCATATAACATTATGATATTGTACTAGGCCTATAGAATAGGTTATACGAGTATAGTGGCGCCACCACTCAATTAAACTTACCAAATAGAGTGAATCCGGAGTTGGGATCCAAATACGCCATAACTGACGCCCAATGTATTGCACCATTTGATGCCAATATTGTCAACCAAAATATTTGTCGCAAAATATATTTGGCAATCAAATTATGTTTTACCAAAAACTTTCGGTAATTACTTCGACTCAATGGCGGCGACACCTGATGGCGACGGACATCGACCGCAAAATTACAAATATATAATTGATGCCTATTTTGAAGCCATTGGGTAAAAAGTAGGAGGTATAGGATGACAAACGCCGCGACACTAGACATCATTGACATTAGTCTTGAATTACTTAATAGATAGTATGCGTCGCATAATAAAGCCCTCGTGTAAGGCGTGTTAATAATGGCAGAGATGGCATACCTGACCCCCACTACCACGAGAAACCCGTGGGCCAGTAGTTGTCGCGATTGATTACGCGGTATATAATTGCCATTCGCGTAGTCCTCCAGAGTTATGGGTACTATGCCACACCTATTGATAAATGTGTTGAGAATTTCAAATGAGCTGAAATCATGGTCATTTTTGGCAACAAAATGTTTATAAAATTTATTTCGCAAATAATTAGTAATTGTTTGCATTATAAACTAATTTTAACTTTAATATACTAATAACTATCGTATAATAGCTGCGTAATAAATACTGTATTTTGAATTTTAAATGATCACCATGACAATCGTATTTCGATTAGCCAAGATATATATAATCAATATTAATTGATCTGTTTTTTAATGTATTGCGCTCATTTTTAAATTTATTTTATTGTGTTTTTAATGCTACTAATGAATATTCTGACGTTAATGAGAAAATAATACAGAATTTGAAAAATTGCATAATTTATAACTAAAACTAAAAATATATTCCATAATCAAACGATCAATGAACAAGATTATATAATTATTTTAAAAATATTTTTATGCATTAATTTTATCAATTATTTTATGCATTCAAATACTGGTCCACTTGTTTGGTAATCAAATCGTAGGCATCGCTCAAACTTTTAGGTAAATCAGGACTCGGTTCCCACATATCTGTCCAGTGGGACTGACCATCAATAGTAATTGCCAGGGTACTATTATTAAGGTTCTTGGTAATGCTTAAGGCATGCCACGGATCCAGTGAACCATTAGTGAACACCACGTTTGTTACGTTTGGTTGACGGCCCCCGTAGTACTTGTTGGTCACCTCCACCGCCTTAACTATAGTTTGTGCCGTAATTTGTGGACCAAATATATCGGTACAGAGTTGGGTGAAGTAGTCGAGGGGTAGGCTGTCCTTACCAAATGGAGTGTCAGGTTTATTAGTGGTGCCATAATAACCAAACTCTGTGCATGTTTGATAAATCCATTGTCGAGCTAGTTAATAATAAAATAAATATTTTTAATAAATGTAATTTAAGTTTGAAATACATTTTTCAAGTTGCTATATTTATTTATTAATTTAAATATTTTTAACCTAACACCTTAATAATATTTATTTAATATTCATTATTTATGAAAATCCTTAAAAATGATATTATTTTATTTAAATATTTAATATATTAAAAATGTACATTTACAAACTTACTTCCCCTGGTGACAGTTTCCGATGTTAGTGTCGTTTCCTTAACATTTTCAACCCATTTATCGTATTTAAACTCAAAACACCGTCCATTCACGTGATCTTTCAACGCCTTACCATAACTGTCCACCGCTAGGACACCACCTGTCCTATCAGTAGCTAACTTGCAAAAGCCTTTAATATCTGAGCTAGGTGCTTGGACTACACTTTCCACGGTGTCTGACAGGTTAAACATTAAATTTTGAATGTCTTTAATGGTGGCGCCGTCTAGTGATTCACATAAGTTGAGTACAGTTTTTACGGACTTCCTACCGGTCGGTGTTTTCAAGTCAGTATATATTTGTTGCGTAGCCTGCCTGTCCAAATAATTAAAATAATATTTATTTATTTTGTTTACATAAGAATTTAAGATTAAACAAAGCTGTAAAATTTATATAAAGTAACATTTGAATTACTATAATAAATGCGCAAATTTATTAAATTGGTTCTAGGTCACCGCACTGAATTTTTATTAATAACAAAATGAAACATGTTCAAATTATGTAATCTATAAATAAATTAGCTTTAAATTTACCGAAATGTTTGAGATTTATTTTTTAAGAGTTTAAAAATTATAAAGTGAATTGGCATATTTTAAGCGAAACACTCTAACTGAACCAGTAAGTTTAATATTTAATGTTAAGCTTTATAACTTAAAATTAATTCACAAAATACGTGCTCACATTTATGGGTCATGCCAAATGCACATGATAGTCATATGTCATTTTAGGTAAGGGGGCACTAAGGGCGTATTTACCCTATTTTATTTAGGGGGTTTAAATGATAACATTAATAACTTAAAAACTTAATCTAAGACACAATTTTAAAATAACTTTTGAGTTTATATTTGTCGTGTAGCTTCCCTGTCCAAATAAATGTATTTTTATTTAATAATTATTATGAATGATTTTTAAGTAAGATTAAAAGGTTTTGAAATAAAATATTGATTTTAAACTGTAACAAAGTTATTATTATTCATATGTAATAATCATAAATTTTTGTTATTAATTAACGGACATTATTTTTATGGATTATTAATATCTCTAAATAGCTAGGCGTATTTAATTTTTACCACAAGATATAATTCAACATTTTCACTTTTAATTAATTTATATTTAATATTACAGATAATTATAAATTATCAAATCTATTTAGATATAACTTGTTATTTAAATAATTAATTTTTAATCAGAAAATTATTTTTTTGTTAATAACTAAATAACAAGTACAACAAATAGCTAGTATTTATAACATTAATAGTATAATTCAACAGGGTATAAAAATTAAATTACAGTTTTCTAGCTTTATAAAATTAAAATATTAATTTTTAAACAATATTAAAATAAAAACTAACCTGATACTTTCGGAACACTCGGCACCTAACGATTCACTCGTAACTCCCAAATAGTCGGGAAAGTCTACCACAGCCTCTACCGGTGCGCTGGACGCTATAGCACCTTTACATAGATCCGGGTACTTTTCCCTGAACCAAGCAGCCAGGTTACCAGCGTACGAACCACCAAACACTACCCATTTACCATGATCAATTTTATACTGCTTACCTAAATACATAATTAGCTCAGCCGTGTCAGCCAATGCCTGCTCACTGGACAGGTATTTCAGATTATCTGTGGTCAGGGAGTTAAATGGTTGGGACACCCCGTAGTACCGGTGCTCTATGGCAACGGATAAGCCGTTGAATATCTTGGCATTATATGCCATGTTTGTATTGGTAGTCCATACGGGATATATTGCATTTTCACCCCCGATTAAAATGAATCCAGGTCCACCAGGTTTATGATAATCTTCGCTGATAAAATATCGCTAAAATGAAAATTACCTTTGTCAAAAATTTAAGTTTTAACAAAATAATTTAATGTGCATTTTAAAAAGTTAAGTTTCCTACAAAGTTAACTATATTAATTTTATTTTTTGTTATTTAAATATAATAATACTGTATATAAATTATAAAAATAATATATTAATATATTATACCTGTTTAAATGTCCGATTATCAGCGTTGTTAAAATGATCAAGTACTTGGTCAAAATATTTTTCCACACTTTTATTTGCTCCTGGATAAAAATCTATTTGATTTTCTAAATACCTTGGTCGACGACATAATGCTGTTTCACTCAGTAGTAATGTAATATAAATAAGAATATTGATAATTATTAAATAATAATTCATCATGCTGGTTTATAAATTTCAAATCAAAAAATATTAAACATATATATTTCATATATTAGGTTTCGTCAAAAGTTTTGCGAGGTAGATTTTGAAGCTTAAAAATTAAATTCTCAACAACCAATATAGGTATCAAAAATATTTTTGAACCTCAACTATGGTTTTTGCATTTATGTATTCTCCCGAAGAGACTACTTGATTAGAGCAC